TTCTCAATAAATAACATATTTTAAATAATAAAACGCAAGTCAGAACTATGTTATTTTCCCGCCGTCTGATAGTATTATTTATATATATTTTATATAATAAAACCTACATCATTTCTATTTTATTTTCATGACTTCTTATGGTAATTTTATTCTTTTATATTTTGTAATATTTTATTAATATTATTTTTTTGTTTCTTGATAAGTTTTGAAGATAATCTATACTCCCTTTTTCCTGGTTCTGTGAAAAATAAATACAAATTAAGTTACACCCTTTAAATAAATTAAATAATTATAAACCAACAATTATGCAATTCCCTCACAAATACATATTTTATTTTCCGTTGTTACTTTTTCAACTTTTGCAGAAACATGTATATCTTTTTTTTTTGTCGCTTTGTTAATACTCTGATTAATTTGAACAGAACAACGGGAAATATTTTATTTTATTAATTGTGGAAAACCTTGGTTCCCCAAACCAAGGTTTTCCACAATTAATAAAATAAATTTATTAAATTAAAAGTTTCAACATCGCCAGCAGACGAGTGTCGATAACAGTGGCGGTCAAAAGCGTGTGTACATGGGTAATCAATGCAAACAAACGGGAATCACTCATCGATCGATGTTAATAAATAAAAAAAGAGAGAGCAGAGGAACAAAAAAAAACTGTGAGAAGCAAACGAACAGCAAAACTTTTCAACAAAGCCATAAAAAAACAAAAAATGGCGGAATATACAAATGGGAAAAATAATTCCATTTCAAGAGGGGGGTGGTGTGGCCTTAAAAAATACAAAAAAAAAGGAGGTGGGGTCTGGTCAGGACCTGTGTTGTTTTTGCCTGCCGCTCTGCTGATTATGTGTATTTGCATGCTAAAGCAGTTGTCCTGCGGTCCCCACTTCCTCCCACTCTCCCACCATCCCCAGGACCTCCTTCCGGTCCGCAGCCCCCCTCTTCTTCCTGTCCAGTAATGGCCGCCCGTCACCCGCCTGTCTACGCGTTGTTAACGTAATTTCCATAAAACATTTTGTTACTTATTTATCTTAATTAAAATAAATTTACATTTTTCTAATTTAAGAGCGCGACGGAGGAAAAACAACAAGGACAACTAGCCCCCCACTCCTCCTGCCTGCCCTGCATTAGAGAGCGACATTTTCTTAACAAGCCAAAAGGACATTTGCTGTCCCCCGAGAAGGACGCGGGAAACTTGGAGAGCCATCGCGCGCGCACAAAGGTTCAAAATGAAACACACACAACAACAACAAGGGGGAGGAAGGGAAAATCGGTGGAAATTCGAGGAAAAGCTGGAAAAAGTCGACGTAATGGAAAGTTGCCTGGACTCTAGCCTGGCTCGGGCTCGGATCTCATTAGCGCCGGTTGCCACGAGACGGAGACCTAAGCTGAGACAGGACTCAGGACAGGACACTCTTCGGAGAAATCCCGGGAAGAGCATAAAATTAAAAGCTGATGAGCGTGAATGCCGGGGCAAAATAAAAAGATTTCTTCACGTATTTGCGTAGTTTGTGTCCAGCTACATATTTTTTTCTCTTTCTTGTCCTAAAAGGTCCTGGAAATGGCGCAGCGAAATGTTTGTCTCTGGACGAAAAGGAAAAAAAATGCTGCAGGAAATATGAGCAGCAAATGGAGTGGATGCTGTAATGGGGGACAGGGAGCATTCGATAAAAGCTGATGATGTGTACTGGGAACAGATACAAGGACAAGCAAGGATGCACAGAGAATACCGAATAGATTTCTAGCTTAATTAATTCCAATGAAAAGCTGAGGGAGAGAGGAGCTTAAAGCTTAAAGAAACTGGAAACTTTGATTTAAAGTTGGTTTTTTATGTTTACAGGAATTTTAAAAATAATAAATTAGTATAAAGGAGTGTTTAGTGCTATTTATTTTGTTATATAAGCAATAATAAATTACTTATTATACTTTTTTATGTAAACATTTGATTGAAATTATAATTTTTTAATCATTGGAAATGGTTTTTATTTTGTAGAACCCAAATTATATTTTCTAAGATTTATAGAAGTCTTGAAAGCATTTGTTATTATATTTATTTTATAAGAAAACCCTCTTAATTCTTTTAAATAAGACCTTAAAAATCCCCTAAATTAATCCTGGACAGTCTGTCCTCGTCCGACTAATCATAAGCCCCATATTAGCCGCCTTGTTGGTCCTGTACAGTAAACCCCCACAATCTGGACACAAAACAAGGCGGCGGCGAATCGGCAATAAATCAAAAATCAATACAGTCAACGCCATTTTGCAGTGGGTGCTGGCAAGAAGGACGATAAGCATGAGGTTTCCAATGGTAAGAGGAAAATGGATGGTGGGGAAAAGCCGTCAACTGAAACCAATACAAAGGCCATAAGTAAATCTGTGAGGGGTTCTCGTTCTCTCTCGCTGTCGCTCCTTATCGGCCTCTGCTGTCTCTGTCTGTCTCCTGACAAGAAATGTTAGAAAAGAAACAAGCCAAAGGACGAGGCAGAGGAGAAGTGGCAAGAAAAAAGCATCCACCCGCCCAGGAGCAAGTCGTAAAAGAAGGGGGAGGAGTCAAGTCAAGCCAAGGGAAGTTCGCTGGCAACAAAAACAGAAAAAAAAGGAAAATAAAAAATAAATTCAAAGCAAACGAGACTAAAATTATAAAAATTGCCCTCCTGGTGGTGCCTGCTACCATCCCATCCCATCTGCAAGTCCTGCGAGTCCTGCTGCTGCTGCTGCTGCTGCTGATGACGATGAGGGCAAGGACCACGACCACGACCATGAGCATGGCCAGGACCAAAGCGAAACGAACGCGATTCCAATACGGGACATCAACGTCACCGAGGGTGGATCGGTGGATGGTCCGAGTTCGAGTCCATATCCTGGGGGTGGTACATAAGTAGAGTCCCCCACACCCCGCACAGCCATTATATACAGCACTCACTTCTTCGCCCTGTGTACACACTACGCTCTGGCTATATAGCAATGGCCCGCAGCGTCAATGGACCAAAATAATAACGACTAACGGCCTGTTAAGGGAAAATGCAATGAGCTTGGAGGGGGCTGCGTGGGGTGGGGGTGAAATGGAGTACAGGCCGAGTGGGTGGTTTGGGGGGACGGGGGCCCCAAGGTTTTTTAAGTGGTCGCGCGTGACGTGCACATCGGAGTCAAACACAAGAAGAAAATTATGTAAACTTTACAGAAAATAAAAAATACATAATTGAAAATTTTTAAAATAAAGAAAACTAACTGGAAATAATTTTAACTGATTTTGTTACTTAGTTAAAATATTAACAACAAAATTATAAAAGCTAATAATCATCTAAACTATTTTAAATTTATTTATTTCTTATTTTAGTATCAAAAATATTATTATTAAAATATTTTAAATGATTAAATACTTAAAAATCTCCATTAAAGTCACGAAAAATTACTTTGAATGCACAATTTTCTAATAAAATGTATTTTAATAATTAGAAAGCTACAAGTTTTAAGATCGAAATTATTAATTATTAAGATTATAGACTTTAAAAAGCTAAAAAACTGGCTTTGCATAAATTTTAAAAATTGCTTAATTAAATAATAAATAAAATCGCGGTATAGTAAGGTGCTAAATATATTTTAGAAAATTTATTTGACCAGCTTAACGTAAAAATATTGTCTAAAAATAATTAAAACTATAAACTAAACTAAAAAAATGATTCGTAAATAAATTTTAATAAGCTATTTGCCCTTAATTATGCTGAATAAATATTTATAAAAGGTTTATAAAATAGAATATATAACAGAAACATTATAAAAATACGTAATAAAATTCGAAAATTAATTTTAATAGGGCTGTGGCCTGTATTATGCTAAATAAATATTTTTAAAAGCTTCACTTAAAATATAAATAAATTTTTTCTATATTTGTAGACCTTTTTGGTTACTGAGCTCCTTCAGAGATATAAACCGTGCAATGGTTGCATTTTAAATAATAAAAACCTCAAAGAACACCACTTTATTAGCTCATAGTTGAGTGCCTATTCTTTCTCTCCGTGTATGCTGTAGAACGTGGGAGTCATGGCTAATGGGGGCCATCTCCTGCTGACGTGGTATTTGCCAGCTCCGACTCTCTGATCGGTTGGCCGCCATGGCAAAACAAATTTTAGCTACCCTCCTCCCACTGGCCGCCGCCTATTTGCACACAAAACTCTTGTTACTAGCTGCCATTATGATTTTGAAAAGCCATTGCCATTGCCATTCCACCCCCGCACTCCACCCACTGCCTGGATTTTTATTTTTCTTTCTTTTTTTTTTTGCGCTCATTGAAAAACTGTGAAATTTTATAATAAGCATTTTTTTGTTGGTTCCCGCTGCTGCTGCTGCTGCCCAGATTATTGTCGATGATTGTGATTGCGTTTTATGTTGTTCCTTTTATTACCAGGTCAGTGCGGGGGGAAAGGACTCCCTTTGCCCGCTGATTTTTTGTGGCTCTCTGGTACTTGGAGCTCGTTTTTTGTGTGTGTGTGTGGCTGTAATATTCCTTTTGAAAAAATATTATTATTATTTTGTTTGGCTCGTGTGCGGCGCCCTCAGCTCTTGCCAGATTTTTGTGCTCGGCCAGGCGCTATTGGTCTCCATTTAAGCTTATTAATTTTAAATGCGATTTTTAATTAAATATTATCAAAGCGTGTCGAGGGCGTCATTAAGTTCGAAGGTTCCCAATTGGGAAGCTGCTGAAGGAGGAGCGGAGAGAGAAGTTGGATTTTTCAAGAGTTGTTAAAAGTCCTGCCATTAGCAAATCGATTTCTAGGAGGGAGAATTTATGTGGAAAGCAGAGAGTTTTGTTTTAATTAATCAATTTGGTTTGGGTTTCTAGCTGGGATTTTTATTTAGATTTTTTTTAAGGAAAAGCGGGTCAGAGTTTAAGGAATTGTAATTTTTAAAAATATTATTTAAAGGCTTTTAAGCCATTTTACTCTGTGCTTAACTGGTCTTAGTAAGTAGCAAGTAGTAATTATTTATTTTCCTCATTAGCCATCTTTGTAGGTGGTTCTCAGCAAGGCAAAGAACTGATAGGACATGCTGATGACCTAAGAAAAATTTCTTAATTATAAAATTCTTAAAAAACCCTCTCTGAAATATTACCTTCATATAGGTTACCAAAGATATGGGCGGAAAAGTAGGCGGTCTTATAGAAGCTGGCTTTTGACTCCTCATTATCAGTAACTTTAACATTTGACAGTAGGTTTTACTGCACTGAAACCACTTTTGATTGTAGGCGGCATCTCCAACTCTAAGACTCTGTTTATAAATTATTCTTAAATATAAATTCTCTAAAATATTATCAACAAAAACACACCGCTGCTATCAAAGAGTCTCCATAGTAGCAAACCAAAAACACCTGAACCATGGAGGTCATCAGGAAAATGCAGTAAATAATAATGACCTCTAATGTAGATTCAGTGACCTGAAAGGCGATGAAACAAATCTGCATCGAGGCCATCAGGAAATTGAGAAGCAAGGAAATGCTGTACAGGCTGTTGACATGTTCACAAAGTCTATAAGGAATAGGTTATAATATATTTAAGTAAGGATCAAAAATTCTAAAAAATATTTAAACTCACGTCAAGCACTTGTCATGATACCTAATAATCCACACCAGAAATTCTATATTCTCCCTATCCTCTCCAGGATTACAAGGATGATTCTCCAGCCTGATGGATATATAATTAAAGTGCATGCAAATCTGGGTGATGACCACCACTAGCAGCAAATCCGCACAGAGAAAGGCTATGCCAGCCAAGTAAGCACCATGAGCTATGTCCCAGTAAGTAATCCAATAAATGAGATTGCTGCTGGTAGCATCAAAGGGAAACCAAATCAGGAAGCCAAAGTTCCTATCAAAGGTGTCATAGCCCAGGAAATTATACTTCACCGAAGCCTTGATGGCCGGATAAAGGGTAAAGGTAGTGGTATAAGCCAAGCACAGAAATGTAAAGATGTTGATCACTCGCTTCATGGTCTTTTCAAAATCCTGCAGTTGGTATTCCTTCTGCTTTTGAAGGCTCTTTGGATGCATGTCCTCCAGCTCGTCCAGGAGCTGTACAAGGAGCCCCTTGCGATAAGCCATGGCGAATTGCTTAAAGTCGGAGACCAAAGAGAAGCCAATGCAGGGAGCCACGGCAATGGCCAAACGAATGGTCTCAAAGTCCTGGATTGACTTGTAAAAGAACACCAGTTCACCAATCACCAGTAAATTGAAATTAATAAATCCCGCATAAAGATATATCTTCAGCAGCAGCGATTTCAGGGGATTCTTGGAGCGATGGGCATAGATGTCCTCGCCAATGCTCCGGTAAAACTGCACTGGCACCCGCATTAATTCCTTGAAGGTCCTCGGTGTGCTCTCCTCCTCTTCCTTGTCCATTTTTTTGTAGGTTACTTTCGAAGGGAATTTTAAACAAGAACTGTTTGTAGTCCTTGCTGGACTTTAGGCTTATATATCGAGTGCGTGGGGGCGTGTCTTTGAAGTTTTTTTTGTGCCCCATCATGTCGCGCCTGGTAAAGTGTTGATAATTGTGCCTAAACTTTTAAACTAACCAATGTAATTAGCTGTGAACTTTTCTCACTCTTCAAGGGACAGCTGAGTGGGTTCCCAAAGAAGAGGAAAAGGAAAAGGAGCTAGGAAAAGGCTGGTAAGGACAGAAGACGACCTTCAGCGGCCGCTAATCAACGTGAATTGCAACAAAAGATGTCGCCATCTTGGCAAGTGAATTAATTGCAGGGAACACTTAAAGAAAATGTAGTGAATTAAATACTTAAAAAATGTGTGAAAATATGTGGGAAATTATTTAAAATTTTATTTATTATATTTTAAGTAATATTTTAACTAAATTGAAAGAGAAATGCAATACCTAAAATCTTTAAAATAATTGAAAATTATAAAAACTATTTCTATGATGTATATTTTCTCGACAAACGGACTTACTTTAATTCTTAAAAATAATTCATAATAATCCCAAAGGCCTATAAATTTTCATACATTTATTTATACAACTAATTAATCCACAAAAATCTTAACAAATCCCTTTTAATCATCTCTAATTTAATCTTTTTAGTTATATATTTTTTTCTTTTACTTAAAAACCTATAACAAAAGGTGCCTGACTGTGGACAGAGACTACTCTCTGGGACATAATGAATGTGTTGAATGAAATGAAAATAATTTTTCTTGTTATCCTGCCTCCCCAGGAGCACAAATTGAGCGGAAAATAACTAATAAAGTCGGACGTGGACCAAGGCCATGAATAAAATGCAAGGAAGGCTGGCTCCCAGGCATTTGCCAAGATTACCCAAGGTGGGCGGGGGGCGGGGTGTGCTGGGAAAAGCGGTGAAAACTCAACCAGCCATGGACCATTAGAGGGGATTTGGGAGGTCAGAAGGAAGAAGCCTTCTCCGGGCACGTGCAAAATGGCAGCTCAAATTGAAATGCTGCCGATGCCACAATGGGTAATTTTCATTTCAATTTTCACAGTTTTCCCCCTCACTCCTCCTTCTCCTCCTCCTCCTCCCTTTGAAGTCGGACAATTTTTTGCTCATTTGCAGTTTGCATTTGAGAATTGAACTTGTGCCCGAGGCAAACGAACAATGATGCTTTCCGATGATGATGATGATAAAGATTCAGGATTTTTCCATTTTTCTTTTTTTTTTTTTTGCTCAAAAAAACCGAAACTTTATCCCGGCAGCTGCGTGTGGCAAGAAAAAGTTTGCGAAATGCCGAGAATGTTTGCAACATATTGAAAACACTGGGCATTCTTTGCCGTTGGCCCTCTAACTTTTAGTTAATTTCGAGATTTAATATGAGCAAATGGGAATATCTGGCAGGAAGAGTTCTACGGTTGTCATGTGACAGGGTTTTTGGGGATGTGAAAATGGGGTTGGGAAAGAGGGGGTAATGTATTAATAAAATGGAAAATTGGGTTTGAAATTAGTATAAATATTTTAAGGAATTTGAATTTATATGAAATTGATTCATAAAGATTTTTATAGATTTTATAGAATTTAACGATTGATGAGAAGTGGAAAATAGAGATTAAAAAAGAGGAAAGAACATGTTATTAAACTGGGAAATTGGATTTGGAATTATTATAAATATTATTAGGAATTTTATATATATTTAAGAAAGATTTTAATAACTTTTGTAGAATTTAACAATTGCTGAGAAGAGGAAAGTTTAAGTTTATTTTTATTGCCTTTAAACATCTATATATACCTCTATACCTCAATACCTTATTTAACTTTTTATATCTTAAATAATTAATAACAATATTTAAGTGTTATAATCAAGAAACTATTTGATTCCTAAGAAAATATTTAGTTTATATTTACATTTTCTTATTAAACCTTATGAGTTTCTAACTACTCATTGTACTTGTTTATATTTTTGGCACTACAAATAAATGTATAAATTATATATCTCATAAAATCCTATTAGATTCTTATATATCTCTTAGCTACAAATACATTTTCCATTAGTTCTGTTCAATTACTGCACAGTTTCGATTAATTAGCACAGCTGCCCGAAATGGCACAAGTAAATACATGGAAGTAATATCTATATAAGGAATGGTCTTCTATTCGAACTCAACTCGATTTGAGTCACTCATGCCGTTGAGCCTGTTAATTTTCCTCCCCTTAAAATACGTTGTTGAGTGTGAGCTCCTTTTAAGGGGTAATTTTTGAGGGTGAATTTTGAGTTTGAGTTAGAGTTGGAGTTTGAGTGTATTTCCAAGCGATGTTTATGCCCGAGCGATGTTTCACTTCTCCTCTATGTTTTCAACCCCTGCTAAACATATATTCCATGTTTTTCTCCTCTTTGTAGACTGTTCCCACTTCGCATGTGTCCAGGCTAACTGAGAACACTATTGTTTCCTGCCAGCAGAGGGCGTCTGTGTCTCGTCTAAGGATATTCTAATAAAATTAAGGACATTTATTTGCCCTTCTCTATTTCTTCAGATTTTCTCTACAAGCTCACCAGAGGTCGCCTTGAATATTTCCAAATTATATTTACTATTTTTTCTGCCCGCTTTAAGGACCTCCTCCCAGTCGTAGGCTTTTAAAATCCTTCTTCTTTTTTTATTACTTTCCTTGCCAGTTTCCTTTTTATTTTTCACTTTGTATTGCAGCATTTTGAAGAGCTGCACTTAAGCGCAGATTTTAATTACTTTCCGGCCGACTGGCAACGGAAGGAGCATGGAACGGGTAGGCTGGGGCTGCATATCCTTTTTGCAACATTTAGAGAGAATGCATTTATCTGACGGACCCCTGCTTGAATTCTGGCTTCTGAATTAGCCAGCCTGCTGGCTTGTTCTCGCCTTTGTCACACACGCCAAAAAGGAAGGCAGCCAAAGAAAGGAGTCCGCCTCAAGTGCAGGGCATTATGTATTCATGGCTAAAAGAAAGGACATTGGGGGGTGAGAAGCAGCAAAAAGAAATGCTGGGCAAGTGCACTTAGCAGCTTGTAGGACGCCCCAGTTGACATTGCCACACGCAGGAAAAGCACCACACTGATGTGATGTGATGTGTGTGTGCCTGCCACTTGGGGGTTGTTTTCTTCTTCGAGCCATAAAAAAAATTCGCACATGAGCAAAACACACACACACACACACACAGAGTCGCACAACCGAGACAATGGCGTAGCCAAAAGGGGGATGGGGAACCTGCCTCGAAGTGGTTGCTGGTTGCTGGTTGCAACCCCTGCTGCAATTTTCAAATGGCCCAAACGCTCAAGGCGCAGCAGCAGCAACGACATGTCCATGTCCTGGCCGCCTTTGTTACAGTCATCCATCTCCCCTCCTTTCCCCATCCTGTCAGTCCCCTCCCCCGCCCCATGTGTAATCACAAACATGCAACAAAAGCCAGGAGCAGGCTCAAGTTAATGACTTGGCAACATGTTGAGAACGCGGCGAGTGGAGAACACACGGATGCAGCTCGAAGAGGACATGCACTGCAAGGAGTGCAGATGAAATTAGGGAAATAAATGCTATAATTTCTATTAGAAGATTTAAAAATATGGAATAGCAAGCCTTTTTTTAAAGATATGTTAGTCTTAATTATTTCTTAATCATAAAAAAGGTAAGAAAATATTTAATTAATAAAGAAAAAGTGATTTTTTATCCTTTATTAAATTTAACCAAAAATAATATCTAAGTTTACCTTAAGTTTAATATTTCGCTATTTTTAGCCTTTTAAGAGCTATATTTAATATTTTTCTTTTAATTTAGATATATTTTCCCTTAATCCCCATTTTCTTTTCAGTGCAAAAAACTGCAGTTGAAGCTAAAGTCAAAGCTATGGGCCATGGAGATGAATGTGTTTGGTTTGTGGGAAATGGGATATGCACCTGCATTTTATTGCATCCTGCCGCCGGAGAGACGAGACAATGCCAGAGTCTTTGTCTAGGCCCGCTGTCTCTCTATCCAGCTATCCAGTCATCCCAGCTGTTGGCCAAGAACAATTCCCAAGCTTGCGTTGATCTTGATGGCTAATTGAGCTGGGACAGCTGGTGGAAGAATTTGTCCTGGCACAGAGAATGAGAATGGTTTGTGTTTACCATATTGGCCAGCGATTGTCCACTGGCCATTTGAGGTAGCAGGAAGCTTCTCTTGTATCTCAGCCCCCCCCTACAACCAATTGTGTTGACCGTCCATCTCTTGGGGGTGTCACGCATGCGCCGATGTCAAACGTCGCAGCCATGTCAACACTTCGTTGGCTACTGGCCATTTTTGGGCAAATAACTTGCTCAAGAAAATCCCGTTAAAAACGCGAACGGCCTAAAGAGTTGTCAGTCAGTTGTCGCCGCCGGACCACCGCTGGAGATATCAGCTCAAAGAGACTTCTCTTTGCTTTGTTGGTGTCAGAGACTCTTTTTTTGATACCCTTTCTCGGGGTATTTTACATTTTTTGTTAGAATATTATGAGTATATTCTTGGATAAAATACAATAATAATAATTATGAAATACTTTTCATGGAGAAAAAATACCTAAAAGAGTCTCTTTTCAATATATATGGGTTTTGGATACCCTTTTGGGGAGTATTTTATATCTTTTGTTGGAATATAATAAATATATTCTGGGATAAAACTAAAAAATAATATTAAAAATATTTTTTAGGAGCGAAAAACTCCCTAAAATATAAGAAACACCTTAAATAGATAGCTTATAATTCTTCCTAGAATAATATTTGATATCTTCAACACTTGTTAGACCAAAAATATTTTTCTTTTTAAACCAGAAGAATATTTTTAAAACTTCTAAATTCCTTTGTAATACCTCCCTCTTAAAGGGTATTTCCCTCTTCAATATCTCAAACTTATCCCACATTTTTTGACTTCTTTTTTTTTCGAGTCAAGCTGAAAAGCTCCATCTTTGTCTTCTCAGTTCGCGGCGTGTTGTCGTCTGCAAATTGTTCGCGTCGCTATTATCCAGGGGCATCAATCTCCTGGCAATTGACAGGCCTCTGCTCTCCACCAAGACTTCGCGAAAAACCTCGCTTAACCCCCTCACAGCCCGCCTCGTCTTAACCCGGACAGCTCCCCACGTTGACAGCCTTTTTATGGCCAAGACGAAATTATTTACTCAGCAGCCAAGTCACCACCACCACCACTGCCACCGCCACCGCAATTGTCAACCCGGGAATTGGCCAGCACTGTCAGATCGCCTCGTGTGTCGCGTCACACAGTCCCTGGTCCATGGACCCTGGTTTTATGGCAATTTGATTTGTTGGCAGTTTTTTTTTTTTCGTCTTCTGTAAATTGCTGGCAGTCTGGCTTTTGTCTCGTCGCTGCTTAATTTAATTTGTATTTCGGTCAAAAGCAGCATATTTATGGTTAGTTGGCGGACTTGACTTGATTTTTTTCCCTGATTGACGACTTTGTTTTGGTTTGGTTTTGAACAATTGGGAATTTTAGGATTAAAATTGAAGGGAAGGGAAATTAAAAGAAGGGTTAATTTTGTACTAAGTTTGTTAAAAATAATGATATATTTATTTGTAATAAATTTAGTAGACAATTAACTTACAAAACTATAGTTCATATATATGTTGTCATTATATTATATTTTGTTTTAAATTTGTTTTCAATTAATAATATATTTTCTTATATTTTTGCAGACTTTTAATATTATTAAGAGAAGGGTTTACTAAATTTGTTAAAAATAAATAGTTTGAATTATTTTACATTTGTTTTAAAAATTAATTTGAAATTATTATACATTTTCTTACTGATTTGCAGTTATTTAATACTATTTATATTATTTATTTATCTTAATTTTATATATAAAAAAATCTTATTAAATAATTTAATTTCATTTTCATTACAATTTCCCCTGTTAATTATTATTTAATCAAAGAAACCTCTCACAAGTTAATTATCTCTTACAAAATTTTGCTTAAATATTTCCCAAAGAGTTCAGTAATTTCCACGAAAAACCCCGCAATACCTTCACCACTGCCATTTTCCTTGCATAAAAAAACTCACAGTTTGCTGGCTTTTTCAGCTCCATCAAGCTGTACAACTTTAAGCTGATTTTGCGGTCATAACTGCCCCAGACTCAAACCCTCTTGGCCGAAACAACGGCAATCCGGCAGCAACTTTTGCCATATCAATGCCAGGGAAAAATAAAAACCAAAACTGAAAAGCACACACAAAAACAGAGAGAGAGGAGCGTGGAAAAACCCAAGGCAGGGTGAAAATGGTGGGTCCGTTCCATTGCATTTCCGTTGCTTTTGACGCGGTTTCAGAGCACACGCCCCTTCCTCCCCGCCCCCTTCCGCGTTGCCAGCAACAAAAGCGTTGAAAACAAAAACAAAACTTTTGCCATTTTTAATTACAGCTCTGAAAAGCGCCGAAAAAAATTCGCAGTTTGCTTTAATTACCGCGCGAAAAGCTGGGAGGTTGGATTTCCAGCGAGTTGTTATGTTTTTTCTATATTTTTTATTTCACTGATGAGGCGCACTTTGATGAAAGAATTGCTGGGACGCAATTATGGCAACATGATGGAAATAAAGAAAAGCGAAAATAATTCTCGTACTTGGAAGGCATATCGCCCATTGCCCGACTCCATTTTCGCGGCTGTGCCCCCTCGAGCTCTTGGTTGGCTGCTCGGCAAGTGGAAATGCATTGAGGCATGCACCAGACGGTGGCAGAACGGAGGAGAACACAACCTGCAACAGAGGCAACTGCCACGGCCACCAGCTGCACTTTAACTTTGGCGCGCAATTCAGGGGATCAACTGAATAAGAAATGTACTTCGCATGGCCGCCGACACGCCCCCTTCGGTTGCCATGGCCATTCCCCGATTAATAGAGAACTTAGCCTGAGAATTTTCAAGCGAGTCATGCAGGCAGTTAATTAATATTAAAATATTCTTTAAGGCTTTTTAAAGGGTTATTTATGGCTTACTAATCGGGGAACATAACAGTAGGGGAAAGGTCTCAAAAGACTTGGTATTCGCCATTTAGAGACTTGTAAAAATCATAAAATATTATAAAAGGTTTAAGGGGCAACTATAAAACATTTAAGGGAATAGAAATTAAGTATTTTGATGGAATAAATAAAATTTAAGGTAGTGTACATTACTTTCTACTTAACATAAACAAGTTATAATGGGGTAATTAAAAATATAAAATAATAACAAATTTATAGAAATAGAAATAATGGATATAAATATCCAAAAATATAGTTTTAATAAATCAAAAAAGTCATAAAGCTTTTTTTTATTTAATTAAATTTGTTTAAAGCCTTTTTTTGACTTATTTAAAATGTAATTATTGCTAATTAAATATCTAAAACAAATTATAAATGCATAAGGTTAATTGTAAAATGTGTACAGAAATACAAATAAATTAAACATGACAACATACATAGCTTAAACCAGTAAAATATATTTTTTACTTTGATGAAAATAGTATTTTCCACATTTCTCTTATTTTTAAAGCATCCTAACCTGAGTTTTTCTAACCCAAAAATGCCTAAACTTTTCCCTTTCTACGATTATAAAAGTCTAGCAATATTTCCTTTACTCTCACCGCATATGGAAAATAAAACGAATACTAAACCGAATAATAAACCAACTAGAAGTAATAAAAAACCCCGCAAATACAAAAAAAATCCCACAAACACCTACAAAGAAAGCCAGGACTATCTAGACATTCAATTACAAAGGCAGGAGGAGACCTAAGAGGATGCCATACAGCTCGTAATTATGCTGACAAGAGTTTTCTGGCTGCTGCTGCTGCTGGATTCATCTTCTCCGCCAAATGCAATGGAAATGTCATTAATATTCGCGCGCCCATTAAAATCGACGCCAAGCGGAAAACCCCAAAGGGAAAACTCCTCTCCTGCGACCCCCCATCCCAAGGGAGAGAGTACATAGGTAACATCATTGCACTTTGAATGGGCTTCATTAGTGCGGTTTATTGAAACGCTGATGCCGCCGTTGCCTGCCCAGCCTGCCCCTCCAGCACAGATACAATTACAAGTGGATGCCCGGATGGATACGGATACGGATACGGGATAGATAGATCTCTCAGATAGATAGATACAATTGCAAAAAATTAGTAACCAACTTGCCGGCTGAAGTGGGCGTCAGTCCATTGAGAATGGCCACAATGGCTTAGCCCAGCTTGGTTTGGCTTGGCTTGGCTCTCTGATCGGATCTGAAGTGGCCGCTGAATGGAGCCAATAAACGAGTCAATAAGCCACGAAATGCAATTCAATGAAAAACCAGTTACGCAACGCGGATATGAGACGGTCCGCCGAGTAAATATTGTTTGAAATCTAATGAGAATCCAGCTTGGTGTTGGCCAGCAAATTAATTAAAATGCGAAAATGAGAAAAGATATGGGTATTTGAAGAGCATTCAATTAAGGCGATTAAGATATCAAATTTATGGGTGATTTATAGATTTTAAGAGGTGTTTCTTGCTTATTTTCTTAATATAAAGGAATTAATGACATTAAGAGCTCAAATTGTTGCTTGATTTGTAGTTATTTTTAAATAATTTAAGACTTATTTAAAGGTGTAGTTTTTAAAAGTGATTTCTTCCTTATTTTCCTTATATTAAATAATATTTTCTTTTGGGGGAAAATATTTGAAGGTTTGTTTGTATGGATTCCTCAGATATTTTTTGAATCATAATTATATATATTTTTTATAGAATTTTCGTTCTTATTTTTTATATATTTAGGAATATTTTCTTTAGGAATAAATGTTAATTTTCAAGCTTAAAAATTAATACATTTCTATTAGTAAATTTTATTATATATTAACTTAAAAACTATCGCTTTCATAACTTGATTTCTTTATTATTTCTTATAAGATTTTATTTAAGATTTTTAAGGTTTAAATTTAGCACATTCCTCTTAATGGTTTGTATTAAATAAATGTGCCTTAATACCTCACCACTTAATGGTATTGATTTTTCTTAAAAACCATAATTAAGGCTCGACTTTTAATCGAAATAAAATGGATTTCATTTAATTTTAACTACAATTTAATTAAAGCCTTAAGACCCAAGACTACTCTTATTTTAATGCCGCCGTTGCTCCTCCTATTTCCATTACCCTCGACCATTATCAACTGGGTTTCCAATTTCAATCTACTTATTTCCTTGCCCCCCTTCGGGGTCTTTGTTTGAAATGAGCTCACATCAATTTTAATTACCGTCTAAATACCGGACTCCCCTTGTTTTTTTTTCACTTGGCTTTCCGTTACGCCCAACGAAATTAACTTGGCCATCATTTGCAGCGTGCGTTGAAATAATTTGCGTTAATTTTTCGGCATTAACAAGTGAGGTTTTAGTGTCGCTGTCGTTGCCTTGGCCCCTGTTTCTCTTCAAATGGTTACGTTTTTTTCGCAGAGGTTGGACCAGCGCCTGCAAGGGGCAATTAATCATAAAAAATTCGGCTCCCTTACGGGGTTTCCTTCTTTTTTTTTGGCCAGCAAATGTAAACAAAATGCACGCCCCGTCGTCATTCGGATCGTCATCGCTGTCTGCTGCAGACAAATGGTTGCCCAAATGGCCAATGGGCCAAAATGTGACTGCCAACTGCAGTACCACTCCCCCCTGGCACCCTGTTCCCAGTTCCCTTATACCCTCTATATATTCAACCATTTTTTTCTTGAAAAGTTTTTGCTTGGCCAAGAAATGTGCCTGTGAAACAATGTCTGTTGGGGGATTAAGCTGAACTGGTGGTCACATGTGAACGAGTGTTTTGACTTGTTCGAATAAAGAAATTTATAGGCCAGAAATTGGGAAAAATAAAAGACTTATTTCTCTAAAATATATACAATTTAAAGGTCTTGATTCTGAAGAAAAATCTTAGAAATTGATAGAGTTTTTCTAAATCTTCTAACAATCGTAAGCAACCTCTTTCTAGAGAAGGATTTCCCCTTTAAAAGCTCACCTTTTCTATATTATTTAAACCTTAAAAAGTTGTTTAAACCTCCCTGACTTTATTTATAAATTTCCTTTAACTAAATTAAGTTGTTTTCTTTACTAAAAAACCCTCTAATTTCCCAGCCATATAGCCTCTTCTTCACCATTCCTTCTTTTATCGAATGCATCAAACAAAAGGCAGTGCAATCTTTTTAAGCCTGGCCTCGTTTTAAGCTTGGCTGCTTTTAGCAGCTTATTTTTTTCGCTTAGCCTCTTAATGCGCTCTTAAACATGCAAATTGGCTCATTATAAGCCACGTTTTCGGCTGCTATTCATGGGTGCGACTTAATTAGCCTGGCTAATTGCAAGGCGCTACCGTTCAAGTTCCTGCTTCTACAGTTTAAAGGCATTTCGAGGTATTCGGAATTCATTTTATGGCCTGCTAATTGAGACCGCCTTTGTTTCTTTTCAATTTCGAGGCAAGTTTTATGTGGCCTGAAATTGATTTTGGCCCGAAAGAGTGCACAGGTTGCATTTCAAGACCTGTGACACTGAATAGAGATGGGAATCTTAATGGGAAAGGAAAGTGCAGCGGGTTAATTAGTAGAGTTTCTTTTTGTTCAAGTAATTTTCTATGATTTTTAAACTACTTTTATTTAAAAAGAAACCTATTATGTGCTTAGTATTTCTCGTTCTTTTTATTCTTTTTAAATTCCCTACTCTTTCCTGCACCTCTACAACCTTAATTATCTCTTTTACGAGTTTTTGATGAACTGATCTGGCATCGATTTCAAGGAGAACTTCATGTACTCCATACTTTTCAACCCTGTAATAATCCGCCACTTGACTGGCTCAATGTAACACGTAATTACGTTTCATGAGAGTCAATTGCAGGGCACAATTAAAATGGAAAACGGCAATGCCAATCCTGACAAACTGACAATGCAAATTAGCACTTATGCCATTGATTATTGCCAATTGCCAATTGCCAATCGATTGGCACAAAAACGAGAGCTCAGGAGGAGGTTTGGCCACAACAAAAAAAAGGCACACACAAAACCGATGTCCTGTTGCAAAACTGAACAAAAGGATGCTGGTTCTAGGTTGCAATTAAGCCTGGGTGAATTCATCTCCCCTGTGAGGATATCGTCCTCGCCTGCATTTGCATAATTTCCATATAATTCTCTGTCGCCCCGGTTAGAAAAATACATTTCGAGCAACAATAGGAAAAGGGTTTCACGTTTCCCCCTTTGCCTATGCAAATTTTTTCCAGGCGGCGTGTGAAAATTTTATGCCGCTTACAGAGTCAAGACAGCTGCTGCTCCTGTTGATGCTTTTCGCACCTTAGATAAACCCCCTCTCCACCCCTTAAAACCCACTGCAGTCTATAAATATTCAAAGGCGCCTGCATTGACAGGCCCGCGGCCAAAGTTTTTCCTGGCCAAAGTTTTCACGCTGCGACAGCTTAAAACAATAAAAATTGTTAGGTAAAGAAAAAACAAAGAGGGGGAAAAACGTTGCAAAGTTAGCGAATCATTTGGTGTTTTTGTGTTACGCTGATTTCCACTGGCCACCGCAAGTTGCAACTTCCACGGGCTTTTAAATTTAAACTTTGCAAGCTGGAAAATGAACTGCGTGGCAGAAACTGACACCCAAAGAGTCCATAGTGGCAAGGAAAAGCGTGGGGGAAATGGGGAAAATGTAAGTAGGAAATAGAAAGAAAAGTAGAGAGACAGAGAGAAAGTATGAAGGAAGTTGGGCAATTTTTAGAAGCGGAAAGAAAGCCCTAGGACCAGGAGAACTCTAAATGTTTCCAAGAAAATGTTTAAAAATAATCTAAATAAAATTTTAAAAAATATTTAAATATACAATTTAAAAGCTAAATAAAACATGTTTCTTATCTACAAGACTTTCGTAATTTATATATAATTATTTTAATACGTTTTTGTATTTATTTGAATTTTTATTTTAATTTTTTTTCCTTGTAATAACTTATTTCCAGCTCAAATAATATTTATTCAACAAAACCTCAAAGAATAAGTCTCCCAACCAACTTTCCCTCTTTCATTTAATTCCTTTTTTTAGCCCATTTAACCCCTTGAAACCATTGTTGAGTACTTGGCCCCCCTTTTACCCCATTTCCCCCCCCCCACAAAAGCCAACGCAAATGAATTCCTTATTCTTCCCTTAAACTTCGCCAGCTTGTCATTTCTGTTGGCCGCTTTCCTTTTTGGCAGCCAACGCGATGCCCTTTTACACTGACATCAAGGACACGCACACAGAGGCACACACAGTACTCACACACACTCACACACAGGCAGTGGAAAAACTTTGGGGCCACGCCCACTGTTTGGAATGTTAAATTAATTAAAAAAAACTCTGGCTGCAAGTGCTGGGAGCCTGTTACAAGTGACGGCAATTTGCTCCACTTACTTGGCGAGTGAGAGAGAGAGAGAGCAATTGTGTGAGAGAGAGAGTGGAAGAATTTTCCGAGAGAGTGTTAATTGCATTAGCGCCTGCGAACTTTGACCCCGTCTCCAATTTGCGGTCAGCAAAGGCCTTTCTTTTTTTTATTTTCCCAACACTTTCGTAACGAGGTCAGGCGAGAGGCCGTGACACCCAGCCACGCCCCCTTTTCCCCAGGAAAAAGAAAGAATATTTTTCTTAAATATTTTCCCGGTGTTAATAAACTTTGTTGCGCCCTCTCCTTCTTTGGGTTGCTTAATGCGACAGTTTTCTTTGCTTTATTGCAGAGAGAGAAATGGAAAGGTGATGTTTTTTAAAATTTCTTAAAAAAAAGTTTATATTTCCAACTAATTTTTATTTATAAAAAATATGTTTGAAATGTTTAAGATTTTATTAAAAATATATTTCATTATAAAAGCCCTATAAAACCGTTTTCGCCCCATTTCCTAAGTTCAGTACTTACTTTTCTATAACTTTTCCTAGAGTTTCTCTTAATACTGAACTACTTATTTTGCTTATTTTAATTAAAACCAAACAAAAAATGTTCTCTCTGTGCTCTTTACATCTTTGGTACTTTCGACCTTCGCCATTCTTGGGTGGTTTTCCCGCCCCACTGCCTTTTTCTCTTCAGATCTCCTTTTTGGGCTCCATGCTTTTCTCGCCCGTGACAGTGAAAATGATAGCAAGGACAAGGCAAACGGGCTAATTAGGTTTTTGCCCCGGCTTCCTTGGTGACGTCATGGTTGTGGGTGTAACTTGGTATGAAATGAAATTAGGGAAGACGGCGGGGGGTGGCGGCAAGTCTGTCTGTGAGTTTTTGGGTTTGGCCAAAGCTTTATAATGAGTTTTTGTTTTTATTTTGTTTGGGACTGGGTCTGGGTCTGGGTCTCTGGGTTCCACTAATTTGCATTTCCCGTAATTTGGTCAAGGTCAATGTCGACATAAATTCTGAGAGTGTTGGGTCAGGGTCAGGGCAGTTGGGTTCAGGATAAGCAGGGGGAAAAGGTCAGTTCAAGGATTGTGGCCTTTTTTTTAAGGAATTTAATGAGTGCTTAGATGAGTTGAAAAGGCATAGAAAGGGTTTAATA